AAATCCACACAGAAATGAGTTCTTTAATGGGCATAAATGGTGTTGAGCCAAAAAACAAAAATTTGATAAAAATTCACAAACCTGCGGGAAAATGCAAGTTTCTTCACTTTGATTATTTTGACAAGAGCCTGTTTCCACCACGCTGCCTCACATATTACTATGTAACATGTACTTACTAAAGCAAAACGTTTATCTTATTTACCCCTCACCATCTCTCACAGTAAATGTCCTGTCTGTCTATTGCAAGTACCGTTACTTTAGTGCAGTCAAAAATTCGTGGTGCAACGTATCCTCAAATATCTCTTTAACAGGTGATTCAATGCCATCCATACTTTGCACGGCAGTTTGTGTCGATTTGCCTTTACTAAATCAGATTTTCGACAACAATTGAAGCTAGTCTATAAAGAAAACTTTCTTCAAAAATTATCTTCGTCACTCCGAAAATGGGATTGTTCATAGCACATCCCGTTTCTCACACACATTTTGCTTACGCATATGGCTTACGTCGCAGCTCACCAATGACACCTCTACTTCTAGTGGCAAAACCTGTTAGAAGAAATTAATTTTATAAGGAACACTCTTTTGCACTAAAGGTTCTCAAAACATACGGTAAATAATATAAGCAAAATGTCGTGATTAGAAAAAAATGACAGACTTGATTTAAAAGCGATATAGTCCCAGTTGCAAACCTTTCTAAATCTGTTGGAACCACGTACTTGGATTTGTAATTAGTATTCATTAAGGAATTTTTCCAGAAAACAGTTAACAGGTAGAATCTATTTACAAAAATATTGATCTGTTGAGACAAATTGATACAAGTCGTTGTGCAAAAGTTGGAGACTTTATATTCGATAGTTAAGGAGTTATTTGGCAATAATTTGCTCCACGAATTTTTGCCCGCAGTATAAAACCAAACGCATACTTTTTTATATTAAAATTTATTCTCCACCATCTCTCGCAACAAATAATGTTCAATCTGTCTATTGCAAATATCGTAAAACACTTAAACTAAACGCAACCCTTACCTAATTCACTCCCCATCATCTCTCACCAAAAAAATCTTCTGCCTATCAGTTACTAAAACCAAACCCCTCATCTTGTCTGTGGGTGGTTGGCGGGTGCTCTGGTGTGGTTTGCTCTTTATTTCCTATCAAACATCTATCGTCCTGATCTCTCTTCCTTCTTTTTTATGTTTGTTACTCTCTTGTAACACCTCTAATCTTCTGGCGCTCATGTGACCTTATGCAGTTGCGAGCGCCGTAAAACCTCTACTAAAACAAACAAACAAACCCTCATCTTGTCTACTCTCCAATGTCTCTCACAACAAATCTTCTGTCTGTCTGTTTCTAAAACCAAACCTTTATCTTGTCTACTCCCCCACCATCTCTCACAATAACTCAAATCTTCCACCAGGGGGGGTCCACGAACACTACCTATTGGGCGGGTTCCGAGGCACTGACCAGCGACTGGACGTGATGGTGGACACAGAGCTGAGCCACATGTACTGCAAGCACGACCTTCAGCGCATCTTTACGGGGGACTTCATGGACGAATTGTGCTACGTCATGAACAGAATCCGGAGTCTCAACCTCTCAACTACGGAGGTGAGGATTGCTTGATCTTTTCTTTCTTCATTTCCCTATATTCATTTTTCTAATTCTGTCTGTCTGTCTGTCTGTCTGTCTGTCTGTCTGTCTGTCTGTCTGTCTGTCT